TAATTTTTCATTGTTCATAAAGATATAAATATTTGATTGATTTTGATTTATTTATATTTTTAAACGTTCTTTGTGTCTGTTAAGTAAGGAGCAGGCATTGGAAGCTGTTAAAGCTTTAAGTATGACATGCTAGAAAAGATGTTAAGAATCGTTGGTTTATTAAGATCACCAAGTGCAACTCATCATTACCAACTGAGATTATAGTAGCTATTTTCTTCGTTTTTGTGGTCATAAATAATGAGAATTTTTTATTTTGAAACAGTATTCAATTTTATTTGAGTTACCGCAAAAACTCGGTAGCAAATTTTGTCTGGATTGGCATATATACAAATAAATATAGTAATATTTAGGTCCGTAGCTAGAAATTTACTTCTCGGTGAACTTTCAGTTAATTTTCGGTATTAATAATGAATATATATATATATGTATAAATGGTCTTTGATTCATTGAGGGGCTGGAACGCTTTTTAGGTACGTGCCTGCCTGTAAACATCACTTATTAATAGTCATAATGTGTTAATAATCAATATACATTAGTATAAATATTGTCCTGCGATACATTGAGGGCTTGGAACCCTCTTTGGGTGCGTACTAATATACATCACTTTCCTATATAATAAATATAGGTTAAGACACTTTTATCTTATCTTATTATTAACAGTCATTCATATACGTTAATAATGAATACATATTAGTATAAATTTGGTCGTTTGACTCATTAAGGGGCTGGAACACTCTTTGGGCGCATGCCTGTGTACAGCACTTTCCTATATAATAAATATATATCAAGATTTTTATCTAAACCTATTATAAACAGTTATAATGCATTACTAATGAATACGTGCATTAGTATACATTTTATTTGTGGATTCATTGAGGGAAGAATTTCTTCCTGTTTCTGTATACATCGTTTTCCTACACGATAAATATTTCGGTGTTTTTTCTTTTTAAATATATATATAATATACGTATTATTTATTTTATTTTAATATTAATATTGTTTCCATTAAATTTTCAATACTTAAATTATATATTAAATAGTAGTGTATATGTACACATATATAATATATAACAATATTATATTGTGTATTGAGTGGCATATGGAGTAATTGCACACGAACACTTCAAGTTCAAGTTCAAGTTAATTTTAGTTATTGATTAGTGACGTATATCACCTGGTTTTCCTGGGCAGATTCTTTTGGGTATACATAAAATCACTGTTCGTTTTTTTTTATGGTTTTTTTTTACGATTTTAAAATTCAACTTCAAACACTTTGAAGCGTTTTTATTCACCTTCACATAATTTTTACTTTGTATTGTTGTATTGTTATTAGATTTAGAAACACCAAGCCCTTAAAATGCATATATTAAATTTTAATCACGATTTCTAATTTTATTTAATTTAATTTACGGTTTCCTCTTGACACGGAAATATTTGATTATAATTTTATTTAGTAGCTTGAATTAAGTAAATTCAAAACTACTCAAGCAGAAGTGTAATTATTTTACTTACAAAATAAAAAAATAATAATATAAATTGCAGTTTAGAATTAATTATCCACATAGTTCTAAGACTTATTGGTTAATCCAAGCCAACTTTTAATCACTCCACTCATCTAACAATTTAATCCATAGTTTAATCTCAGTTTTAATTACAAAGAAGATACCGCGCGGCAATGGCAATCTTCGAAATTTAACTAAAGCGCATATTAGGTAGGTAACTACTACTATTTAATAATTAAACCAAACAAAAAAAAAAAAGAAAAAAATATAAAAAAATATATAAACAAGAAAAAGCAAAAACAATGCAATTAATTGTGTTGTGAAGTATCGGTTTGAAGTGTTAGTCGAGGAGTTGAATTGTTGAATTTGTTAAATAATAAAAATTAATTGTTAAGCATAAAATGTCATTAAAATCATAATAAAAGCTTTGTACTCTTAATGGTTAATTAATTTTTAGGCGACGCTCAAGGCTATCGGAAACAGTTACTCACTCTTTGATTCTGTAATCTCGTAGAGTGCGGTTAAGTGGTATACGGTCGCTGGCCAAGAGATTGAAGCTGTTCAGCCTAAAGAAGCGCTGCATGCGAAAGCCATCGCGAGGCGGTATGAAAACTGGTCGTCCCTCAGCACCTTCGCCTTGTATGGGGTTAAAACTGTTTATATTGTATTCATCTGCAAAACGAATTGCCACAATATTTTAAAAGATAACAACAATAACAAGCAAAAAAAATTAACAAAAATAATAAATAGAAAAAATTATTTTTTTTTTTTGCATTTGCACTTAAATTGATTGTATTACCTGCTGTCATATTTCCAAATATATCACCTTTTCCAATATAATGGGCGATGACATTTTTTCTGGTGAAGACTGAGCGACGTCTTGGTGCAGGTTTCGGTTGGCTAATAATACATAAAATTAAAAGAAATTCTAATAAGAAAATAACATATTTAAGTGGAATATTGAAACGCATTATGTTCAAGTGGATGCGGTCAACTGTGATGGACAGTCGTAACACCCCTCAAGACAAAACAGACAAATAAAAACTCTTAACGTCAGAGGTAACAACTGCAACGAACGATGGTAACAGCGCTATTAATCGCTGTTGCAATAATAAATATTAGAAATGCATAACGAACGAAACCGCCTACGCTCTCAGCTGCTTGGTTGCAACATAAAAAGCAACAAAAGCAACAAAAACAACAATACTACCACCACCACTACCAACAACAATACCAACAACAACATAATGCCAATAACCAAATTTTCTATATAAACTTACTTGTGCTCTTGGTCATAGTTTTGTATGCTGGAGACGTATAAGTTGATGCTGAGTGCGAACATAAAGAACGCAAAAAACAACAAAAACAAATAGAGTAGCCATAGTTTCTTTAATTGTTGAAATGGTAAACCCATTTTTGTTGTTGGTCTTCAGCAGTAAAATATGTAAATGCAAGAATTTTAGCTGACGTCTTTGGACGGACAGTTTGGCGTGTAATATGAATATTTGTTCAAATGGCTAGAAATTATTGTATAGAAATTTGCAAAATACACTTTGCAATTTGTTTACTTCATTGTAATTGTTATTTTTTTTCGTTTTTGTTATTGTTACTGTTACTGTTAAATAGACATTAATTATACCGCACAAAACAAAAATTGCAAAACACACCTGCGCGAACATAAACAATACTAAACAGTTGGTGAAGACTACACGTATTGACATTTGCCATAAAATTACTAGGGCAACGCTCTCTTTGTAAATAAACCAACTGGGTTGCCGTGTGCTATAAACGTACTAAACTGTAATAATTCTGAGTGGCTTGTGTAATTTCAATACTTTTGCTACACATGATATACACGAAAATTATTTTTATGCATACATATAAGCAAATCATGAGTTAAATAGTGTAATACACTTAAATGTAATTAGTTTCATATAAAGTTTGAATTAATTGATATAAAGCGAAAATGAAATAAAAATATTATTAATTATATTTACAAATAGTAGCAACAAAAATTTTATATTATACTTTTAGGGTTAGGTTATTCTTTATGAAAGTGTATTTTCACGCTAATTTCAGGCTAAAATTTTTTTATTTTATAAAAATTAAACTGTTGATCAGTTTTTTGGTGATGACCACAGACCAATGATTTCTTTTTCCAATTTTTATTTTTTAACAACAAATAAAAATGATGTCAACCAATTAGCCTGAAAAAACATTTTTATTGAAATCGTTTGGTCACAAAATAATTAATATTTAAGTTATTCTTTATGACATATACGGAAATCATTTTTTTTTATTTAACAATATGTCTTTATTGAAACGCCTAACAATCTTAAAGACTAATAATATTACATTACAAATTATTTTATATAAACATATTATAATAATATATATAATGATTTGTAAATTATTTCAGAGGTCTCTGAATAAATAGTCAAGGCTTATTTACCAGATACCACTGAGAATAGGTTGAATTAATTAGGGTGTTCTTTAGGTTAGCAGAATGGCGGATTTATCATTCCGTTTCAGTCTAGAGGAATTTGTCAAATATGACAAATTCAAGCAAGAGGTCTAGCCAGCGGATTTACCTGGTTTTCATTTTTATGCATACATATAAACAAATTTTAAATAATATACATAATTGTAAATATGTAAATATTTCACTAAGTGCGTTCATATAACCGTATACGTAAACGCATAAAATTATACAATTGATTAATTGTATATATAAAAAGTAGCATAGTTATAAGATCACCAATGTGTTCCGAGTTATTTAAGACCTAGTATTGTCATGACAGAGCACATTTTGTTTTCACTTGTCATCTGTTGGCAAGTTCTGATCGCTTTTATTTGTTTATTTCTTTTAAGTTACAGTAGACTGAATCAGCTCGTAATAGACAATTTTCTTCCAATCTCACTAAACACTCAACATAGCCTTGCTTGTCGCCAATCTAGGCATGGAAGTCGTTTGTCACCGGGCTTTGACCACGACCACGATTGAACATACTTACATTTAATCCATTTTTCATTGTCCATAAATGATTCCAAACTGTAATGTGATTGATGTTTAGTGATTCCTTTAGCTTCTGACAGCATGCGTGTTGGGCTTGCTTCTGCAGTTCTAAAATATCATCGACATTTTTACTGGGTGGCCGATTAAAGTGAGCTCCATTTTGGAGTGTCTAAGCACTTGTAAGTAATCTCCTTTATAGTTGACTATCTGAAAATAGCTTATATACCAAATGAACCAAATTGTTTTATATGACATTATCTTAATTGAAATAAAAAATTTTTTTGTAATTGTTAAAAGCTATCACTCCGTCAACAACCATATCTATTTGTTAAAAATTTTATTTCCTCAAAGCATTTTTAATGTTTTTGCTATTTATAATAAACACTTTACTTTTTGATCTGTTATCAGATCAAGTTCATTAATATTTATATATTTAACTTAGCAAACATATTTTGTACATTTTGTTATATATATGCTTCCAAATAAATGTCCATATATCTCTAAAACTGTTTAGTATCCTTAAAATTAGCGGTAAAGTTGCCTTCTTTTATTGTTTTTGAAGCTGATTGCCAACATACCAGAGAAGATAATTGTTATACCCTACAAAGAAAATTGTTCATTATTATTATTATATATATACATACATAATATTAAAATATTTTACCACCAATCCTACTAAAATCCAGTCACTAATAGTTTCTATTTCCGAACTATTTGCATAGGCTTCGCTAACAACTTGTATGCATCCAGTAGAATAGAGTAAAGTTGGAGTGGTTGAGTTTCCTCCAATATAACAGGCGGGAGGTAGTGGTAAGCCACTTTGTATATAATCATTGGGACCATTTTTGCCACAACAATTGTACTAGTAAATAAAATGATTAAATATATATTAAATGTATAAAGATTTTTTCTTTTAAATTGTAGTTATAGAAGTTTTATGAACCAAGTAATTATAAAGAAAGTGGAACCATTTTTACATCAATAAAATTTTAAATATATGTTAATTTCAAAATTTTTTCCTATTCTTGATAATATAGAAAACCTCACCGTAATTTTAAA